TACCGCCCATTTCTTTACTGTTGCTTTTGGAAAAAACGGCGGAAGCAAAGTTGTACACCTAATAAAAAAAATTATATTTTAAATTTAGATCGGGGAATTTCTTTAGATACGTTCAATAATTCTGAATAATTTATTTAACGCATGTTATTAGTCGCATATTTATTCAAAAACAAATATGTGGTTAGAAAATTCTTTAAATTTAAAAACAATTCCATGTACAATTTTGCTTCCGCCGAATTCTTCACTTGTGCTTTTGAAAAAAACGGCGGAAGCAAAGTTGTATATATAATAAATACTATTAGTTAATTAAATTAATTCATTGTGTTGTAATTTAATAATTTAATTTTGTAACATAATATATATATATATAATATATATATTTATATATATATATATAGCTTAGAGATTTATATGATAAAAAATAAGACTGTTATTATAATTATTCACTAAAATAAAACAAACAAAAATTTCTCTAACCATCAAAATGTCGCAACCAAAAAAAAATCACCTGACCAAAAAAATTTGAAAATAATCAATAATAAATGTATAAAATTATCAATTTTTCGACATAATCATAAAATTGCATTTATCATCATTCGCCAATTTGTGATTCAAAATTTATATAATTTATATAAAAGTGCAATTATTTGATATACAACTTTGTTACCGCCGAATTCTTTACTTCTACTTTTGGAAAAAACGGCGGAAGCAAAGTTGTATATATAATAAATACTAATAGTTAATTAAATTAACTCATTGTGTTAATGATTTTGTAAAAAAAAATATTCATAGCTTTAAGATATATATATGATAAAATATAAGACTGTTATTATAATTATTGACTAAAATAAAACAAACAAATCTCTATTTTTGCACTAAGTATCGCAATTCAAAAAAATCACCTGACCAAAAAAATTAGAAAATAATCCATCCATCCGCCGGCCAATATATTTATCCGTCTATCGATTTTACATAATAAACAGAATAATCACAAACAAAACAAACACTCGTACTACCAACCATTACCAATACCACTACTAATACCACTAAAATGACTATTATAATGATGGTATCTTCTTCTTCTGTAACAAATTCGAAGAGTAAACATTGCCAGCATCCGATGAAGAGTATAAAAAGCTTGAGAAGATCTTCGAAGACATCAGTTGACTCGTGAAGAGTTCAACAGTAACATCGAATAATAATAAAAATACATCGAAAGTGATATTAAAGAAAATAAAGAAAAATCTTGAAAAAAGTTTGTGGTTTTTTGCATTTTTTGTGTGGATTTTGCCGAAGACGATGAGAGGATTTGTTTGTGAGTAGAAATGATACAGTTCGATTTTGTTTATACCCATATCCTAAAATTCGATAAAAATATTTATTTAACTTCAACCAAAAATTTGCTCAAAGTGAATCGGAAAACATTTTTTTTTTTTTTTTTGGAAAATTACACTTCGGGTTTTTTTTATTAAGTGGATTTTTTGTGTATTGGAATTTTCACTCAAGTTTTCTAAATAGACCAAAAGTTTGCTCAAGATGGACTAGACAATTTTTTTTTTAATTTTACTTCGGGTTTTTATATTAAGTGGATTTTTTGTGAGCAAAATTGTATTTGGATTTTCACTCAAATTTACAAATTTTTGTCTGTTAAATAAAATGCAAAGATAGTGTTCAATATTTATTAAATATCCAATAAATAAATTTATTAAATATCCAATAAATAAATTTAATAAATATCCAATAAATAAATTTATTAAATATCCAGTAGATAAATATAGTTTTCTGTTCAAAAATGTGTTTACAATTTTGTTTTTAAACTTATATTTTTTGCATTTCTTTGTTACTACTTGCCTAAGTTAATAATTATTATATTTTTACTAATTTGTTACTAATACTCTATTCAAAAAGTCATTTTTCTTTTTTTTTAATTTTACTTCGGGTTTTTTTTATTAAATGGATTTTTTGTGAAAAAAAATGTATTAGAATTTACACTCAAGTTTACAAAATATTGTTTGTTAAATAAAATGCAAAATAAGTGATAGATATTTATTAAATTTCCAATATATATGTATTTGTGTTTAAAAACGTGTTTACAATTTTTTATTAACTTTTATTTTTTTGCTTTTGTTTGTTACTACTTACTAAAGTTAATATTAATATATATTTACTAATTTATTACTAATACTCTATTCAAAAAGTCATTTTTACTTGAATTTTTATTCATAATTTTTCACGATGAATTTTATTAATACATTTGACAATTTTCTGTTTAATTTGTTTAAATTTTTTTTGCCAAAATGCCGTTCGTATTTTTATTTTTTTGAGTATTAAATATACTAACAAATATAAAATTTATAAGTAATGGTTACTAACAAGTAGTTCAACACTAATTTTGTTTTTTTTTTTGAAAATTACACTTCGGGTTTTTTTATTAAGGGGATTTTTGTGAATGAAATTTTATTAGGATTTTTACTCAAATTTACAAATTTTTATCTGTTAATTAAAATGCGAAATAAGTAATAAAATTTTACTGTTCCTTAATAAAAACATTTTTTTATATTAAAAGTCGATAAATATAAGTTACTTTTGTGTTCAAAATTTTCATCTTAAGATTTTAAGTAATACATTTTATTCACCCACAAATATCTCTGCAGTTCTGTTTTTACTAATCATTTTTAAAATTACTGATTTTTATTTGTACTTCATTAAATTTACTTGCAATAAATTCTCTAAATTTTGTCAAAAACAATAACGTAAAATCAATTCTTGCAATGCAAAATCATAATTAAATATAAGAGATGCGAAATTTAACTCCGAAAAAATACATTTAAATCATAAAAAAATTTATAAATTGCTAAATTTCATTTTGGCATTGCATAAGTAAAATATTTAAACAAGTGTCAGCAACACTGATTTCTAGAAAAAATTCCATAAAATAAATTATTAAACAAATTTTTTCGAACAAAATTCGAAGAATATAATTTATATCTATCTAAGCAAGACGTTTATGAGGACGTTTTTTTTAATATAAAAATTAAAATTGTTTTTTACGTTATTTTTTTTTATAAAAATCAGAGAATTTTTTGCAAGTAAAATTAATAAAGTACAAAAAATGTAATAATTTTAAAAATTATTAGTGAAAAACAGAAGTGCGATGATATAATGCTCTAATTGATTTTACTCTGAATTATTATCAAATATTATACTATGAAATCTAATTCCAAAATTCACTCATAATTTTATTTGTCAATTGTAATTCTGTAAAATAAAGTAAAAAGATATGTTTATAAAATATTCTAATCTCTAACTTATAAACTATTCTAAACTTTAAACAAATGTCAAATACAATGTGAAAGAATATATTTTTGTTCAAAAGCAAATTCAGAAATCTAACCCCAAAAAATATTTATTTTAAACAATTTTCCAAACTAAAAAAATTATCGAATATAATTTATACAAAATATTTATTATAGATAATTATGTATTATTATTTGTAAAAACTGACGTGTCCAATGTTTGCTAAAAATATTCATAATTATTTAAAATATATAATTAATTATATATTTTTTCACTAGAAATTACATAGAACTTGCAAAATTCGAGATTCTTTGTAAAATTTGGTGACAAGATTTTTTAAGATATAAAAATCCAAGTTTAAGTTTTAAAAATTCTAGATATTTTAATCAGAATTAAATATATTTCTAAATTTTATTAAAATTAATGGGATCGAGTGAGTTTTAGTATTTTCCATAATTAATAGATGGCGTCAGTGTACACGAATTAATCACACTTTTTAAAA